GAAAAACATTGTTTTACAAACCTTAAGACTTAATAAAAAAAATTTTTATTTTGCATATGAAAGCATTCTAATGTTTACTAATAATTTGCCTGTGCTGAAAGAGTTAAGGGAAAGCTATTAGGAAAATTATATTCCCGCATGTAAGGTTGGATTTCCCCATGAATTGTTTCTTTATAAATCCATGTAATATGTTCACTTTTACTGGTTATAACTAAAGGAATACAGATGGACCATGCATTCCTGATCAGGAAAGCCAACTAAAAAGATGAAATTCCTCAAGCAAAGTTAAATTTCTCAGGAATGGGGGCATGTAATATTTCGGTCTTTGAATGCCTAACATATTATATATATACTGTATATTATATATGTACCTATGAGAATTTCAAGAATCTGTAAAAGTTTACACTGGCCATCTACATTAACCTAAGACTAGATCAATATGAGATTTCACACAAATAAAATAAATAATTAAATTTTGATATTAGTTTATTCTAAGAAATCCAGCATATAACTGTTTATAGTACTAAAAACCAGTACAATTAAGTTCCTCGGGTGTGCTTGTTTAAAGAAAACGGTTTTCATCACTTTAGAGTAAAAAATTTTAAAGTTGACTCTGTGTAAAGAATCTTGTACAAGTAAAGGGAACACTGATATCTTCACATTGCACCTTTTTATTTCAAGACTTTGCCTAACAAAGGTGTTGTTCAAAATGTGTAGATACCATCTCCACACAAATGAAACTTTAAATTTTTCATTAAAAAAAAAAACATTAAAATTTAATCATATCACCACAGCATAAACATTTTTATCTCCAAATACTTTCTTTCAACAGAACAGTTCCTAACTTAAAGTTAAAGCACTTCACCATGACAAATTTGGGTAATTAACTTTAGCTGTATGTAATACAAGAATGTAAAAACTTTGAACTTATCATTCAATTCCAGTAAAAAAATTCATACAGTTGTTGGAAATTACAATAATGGTCATTTAGGAATAACTTTAACATGACTTAAAGGCAAAAAATAAACTTGTAAAGAGCTTAATTAAAAGTAAAAAACACAAAATCCAACTTTGTTTGGCACAACGAAAAGTAAAATTTTTATTATTAGTTACAACCGACGAGTTTTGGTAACACTAGTCCTGATGATGATAACTATGTTACCAAAACATAAAAAGGATACTGCATTAATGTAGCACCAATTACTCTGGTTGATAAGTCCACGAGGTTGTAAGAATAGAGTGGTATGGTTCAGTTGTGTATTCTCAAAAATTTCTGCAAAGATGGTATAGTATTTCTGAGTTAAACACAAAGTGTAAATGATCATATGCTTATTTATATGTACATATATTTATCTTTAAACTAGTAAAATGTTAATTAACACTCAACCATGTGTAATCACATGTAAAAGAGTAATATAATTTTTTTTATCAATTCACTCATACATTTCTTCAATTTAGTGAGTAAGTCCAAACTAATATTTTTATACAGCTTTCTGAGATCTCCTGAAAGTTAGAAAAGTTTCAAAAGAAAAATATGTCACAAATTTGATAAGTGTTTGAAGTGATTAAATATTACGTGTTACATGAAATTAAATTTACAAATTTCAAAAGCTGAATTCAGTTTCAAATGAACAAAATATATATTTTATAATAATAAATTAGTCCAAGTAAAAAAAATCCAAAAGTATACTAAAACATAAGTCAGTTCAGTGTCTACATTAATGCACTTTCTATTTATACATACATTAGTTTTAATAACAGAGATGGAGAAAATTGCTTTCTAATGGGTCCCATGAACACAAATTAAAATTACCTTCATGTTGCTCTTTTAATCCTATTCACCAATGTATCGTTTTCAAACCACATTAAGATCTGTTGTCTGCATCTCGCTTCAAATCAACACTACAACATTCATACCTTATCCAGTGGCATTGCAAGTAAAAAAATTCAGTACCATCTTACAGAATTCACCACATGACAAAATAGTGTACAAACAAATAAGGAGAACTTCATTGTGGGAAAACCACAAAAAATATCATGGGCAAACCAACACAATAAAGAGATCATTCAAATGTCACTAGTTATTAACTAATAAATACAGTCAAAATTCTGATGTTTTATGTTTTGCATAAAAATAAATGGGTATCACATTTTTTTCTAAGTGGTTTGAGCCCCACAGTATGACATTAGTAAATCACAAGAAGAATTATGCATTCTGTAGACTACAACACGACAGATGAGTTTCAAAAACAAAATATACAAATACTTGTTACTCTTAATTTTGGTTTTATTTACTCTTGAAACAGAAAACTTTTGGGGAACCTACAAAAGTACATCTAGTTTTTATAGTCTTATTTCTTTACAGACATAAACTGGAAAGTTAAACCCCCTTGCCATGCCTTCCAGTCACATCCTCACTTTCACAAATTGCCAATAGTTCTCTCTCTGACATTTTATATCAATAGAAAAGCAAGGTTTTAATCTATCTATTGACATATTATATTACACAATTTTCATTACAGAATATTGTCTATTTCATCATCAGTTTGAAAGTTTCTCTTGTGGTGTTCAGATCAAGAAGCTTAGAGAAATATTTTATGGCGCTTATGTCATAGTTAAAAATTCAGTTAAATTATGATATTTATAGGACACTGTTTGTTTTATGCATGTTACTTTTCTTGTTCTTAGTTGCATTATTTTACTAAATAAAAATTATTTAGTGTACTATTAGGCTTAAATTTCTTGGCAACTGACAAAAAAAACTAGAGGTCAAAGGTAAGTACTATATTTTTTGTTTTTCATGTTCTTTATTCATTATTATAAAAGTAACTAAAGTGTAAAAATTAGAAATTTATTAGGCTACATACGGTAAAATCAAGAAAAGTAATAATAATAAAAATTATCCATGAGGTACGCTTGAGAGCAGCTTGTGCATTACTTCATTTAGTATGGTAACTAGAGGTACTTGTTCATCTAGTGATTTACTTGTGTGCCAGGATATTTTGACAGACATAGTTCAAAGGACATTCTATATATATATATATATATATATATAATAAGACAACAAAATACTGTGTGTCTATCTG